GCCGCTGAGGTGATGGCGCTGCCACAGGGCCCGGCGCTGAGGTGATGGCGCTGCCGCAGGGCCCGGCCCTGCCTGGCGAGCGGGGTCTGGAAGGAAAACAACGGGCCACGCTTTATTTCTTGGTGCTAAGAACCGCTTTCACGTTGGCAAAGCTCCGCGGCTCGCGGCGCCGTGCGCTCGGCGAGGACGGGCCTCATCCTGCGCTGAGGCGGGACACGAAGCGCTCGGGGAGGGGTGTTAGGCCAGAGCCCAAGGAAGGGGCTGGAGGGGGTTTTGCTCAAGGGCAGACTGGGAGATGCAGCCCCCGATGGTATCCTGGGGTTTAAGGAGAGGGTTTTTTGCTCGGAATTGCCTCACGCCAGCGGTGCAGCCTCCCGCTGCTGCCTGCTCGCCGAGGTGAAGGCACAGCCAGCGTCAGGCCTGCGAGAACAAGCTATGCCCCTTTCCAAAAAGGATTAAAACAGGGTAGGAAGGAAAGATAGGGAGAAAAATATCATGTAACTCCAGAGCAGGAGCAAAATAAATGTGTACAAAGGAGGCTGTTTAACCAAACCATGAGTAAATGATTGCTGTTTTGAACATCCCCAACACAAGAAAACTGTGCATGAAAACAAACCCTGCAGAGCCAGGCTTGCTCTTAAAATTCAGGGTCCTCAGAGGCAAAGACCTTAAAACTAGCACTGGTTTGGAGGAAGGACAGGAGGTGTTTCACTGGAATTAGCTCATTTTAGTGTCAATGTCATGTAGCTGTTACGTAAATACAGCTATAGACAGGGTTTTAATAATTTGTGTTAAGAGTCGAAAGAGATACAAAAAAAGGAAAAACAAATTCATAAGCAAAAGTACTCGTAAGACTGCCTGAAAGTCAGAAAAAATAAGGCAGGGAAATTTCATTTTGAGAAAATAAAATCTCTGCTCATTATTCCCTATACATTTCAGTATTCCTGTGAGCAAAGGAAACTCTTTTGTGCCACCTAATGTTAAGTATAGATCACTGTTGCCTTTGCTCTCCTGTCGCGCATTATGCGCATGCAGGGGCCTGATTTCCAAGGGTGCTGAGCGCTCCCTTCCCATCCCCTTCCATGCAGGAATGAGGAGCCCAGCGCTGTGGGCAGCCTCCGCATCAGCTCACCAGGAGAGCTATCCCGATCCTGGGCCAGGAAGAGAAGCTCCAGCTTCGCACTCAGGTCCTGGATACTCCGGAATACCCCAAATTATTTTTAAAAGACACCTAGAAGGAGCGGAAGGGAGCCCAGAGGCATAACCTTACCAACCAGCTCTCGGTTTTAGAGTGTAAATCCGGAGTGAGCATATCCCGGTGTTTTACAGTCTGCCTCGCATCGTGTGTATGTGAAAACACCGGCTGCAAAACTCTGGATCTGCAGCAGCTTCTTGCTCTGAGGAGCCAGGAGGCCTCGACTCCGCAGGCACCGCTCCCAGCGAAGAATTAACATACCCAGAATTTATGGTGTGTACTTAGCAGCCATTAACACTAATGGAAGATACTAATTTGGTACTTAAATATCTCGCACAGTCCTTTAAAGAAGAAAGGGCTGAAAGAAAGAATTTCTCTGATAACAATGAATTACATTGCTTTTGTGATTTTAATGGAGAGTGTTAAACATCTTTAACAATTTTTGAGGCTGAATCTCCTTTGCTTTTTAAGTTATTTGAAAAGAAGAGAACCTGAGACTTCCTTCATATTTAAATGATTCTCAAGCTGTGCTCTCCTCCCCTTTAAAGAAGAGCAGTGCCATATGAAGCTGTTCACATGAAAGCAGAGACACCGGCTTCCCTTCGGAGCGGCCCTTAAAGACCATTCAGAATACAGTCCAATAAATCCTTACCTGGACTGCGTTTGACCAAGAGACTTTAAAAATTCTTCAGAATGAAGATTTTTTTCTTATTCATTTATTTTTAAGTACTAATTCCATAGCTTCACGTAGAGCGGGCTGGAGCATCAGGTCCTAGTGGGCTCTACATTTATATAATTCATATAACACCAGTTTTCACAGCAGATCCCCATCCAGGCAGAGGTACTTTTGAACGGAGTTTGTTCCGTCAGGAGCTGGGAAATGTGCGTGGCAGGGGGTGACGCACATTGCAGCCAATTGGCTACGGGTCCGCTCCCAAAACACAGACATAATTAATCATTTTGCTCACGAGAGCAGTTTCCATTTAATTTCCTGAGATCATCCATGCAAATTAAGTTATTCATTTGTATCTTTGCACAATCATATTCGAAAGCTCCATCCTAGAAAAATGTATATATAATATTTTAGGCAGGTGACCTGTCCCACTGAATGGCTGATATTCCTGAAAATACTTGCAGAGATCTGGGCCTAAATTTGGACTTGCTTTTGCTTTTTTTTTTCCTAAACTAGTATCCTGTGACCAATAGACCAGAAAGGCTCCACAGCAATTACATATTTAGGATATGTGATAGCTGTAGTTAAGATCTTTATGACTGATTGCAGGATAAAATTTACTTTAAATGTGCAAGAGCCCATTTTTAAACCACAGTCTTTCAGCTGGTTTTCATTATATATATTTTTAAGGATCAAAAGCAATTAGAGTGTACAAAGTCTAAATGGTAAATAATTTCCACATCAAAAATCTTACTAAAGCAACAAGCATCTATTTTTGTTAACACTGTAAAATACGGA